TCTTTGATATGGGATTTAAATGACAGGTTCTGATCCAAAATAACAAGATTTTTTACTTTATGATCTGAAATCAGTTTAATCCCATCCAAATGAAGTTACTGACTAATCAGCTTCTTTTTCAAAGACTCTTGTCCAGAGACAATAACTTCTGTTTTTGAGTAAGAGAAATTGAAGAGTCATTTATGGTTTTATGTCTTCAAGACATGCCTGTAATCTTTTTAATGGGTTACCTTTATCTGGATTTATAGACAGATAAAGCTGAGTATCATCAGCATTACAGTGGAAATTAATCCCATGCTGTCTATTAATTGTACGGATTGAGAGCATATATTTCATCAGTCATGATAAGTTGTCCAGATCCCGTCGAAGCAAAGCAGCCTCAAATCAACTTACTTTGATTGTCGGCATGAATCATGTACAACAGCTGTTTGGTTATTACCATATAGACAAACAATTTGTCTCATCAGTACACAGAACATTTTCAAAGTTGTGGAAATCATAAAGAAGTCTACTTTTTAGGAAATGTGAGCTGGTTTAGTGCTTCTTTTGTTCAGCAGTGGATTTTATCAACGCATTATTCCATGGGTAAAATTCTTGCTTAGCATTTTTCTTATTGTTAAATAAGCAAAATTCATCTTAAACAGGAGAAAATAGACGAGACTCTCTGTTGATATTGTTTTTTGTGACCGCAGTACGTTTATTGATGCGCTGGTGGCGTAATTTTGTTAGGCTAGTCTCTCCGCTCATACTGGTCCTATGCTCATTTGTTAATGACAAATTATATTTAAAAATGCCACACTTTACTCCTGATTTCTGTTGTGGTGTCAACGATACATACACAGTCAGTGTAAATTCAATTAATTTCAGTTCAATTCATGTTATTTATATAGTGCCCATTCACAACACATCATGTTAATGAACTTTACAGAGAAAATCCAATCAAGTCATACAGATGGATTGGTTAAATGTTTTTGATCCAAGGAAACCCAGTTGAGTGGATGAAGTCTCTGTTTTGATGCATTCCCCCTCAATGAGTATGTAGTGAGAGTAGGCAGTCAATTACATTGTTTTGTTAACTCTGCAGTAAATCCCTTATACCGAGCATGCACGCAGCGAGAGTGGAGAAGAATAACTTCTTTTTTAGAGAAAGAAATTTCCAACTGAACCAGGCTTAATGGGATTGGCCATCTGCAGAAGCCAGGTGGGGAGTCAATGAGACAGAAGCAGGTATAAAAAAGGATAATGGAAACACTAATTTATAAACACATTCTATGTTAGGAAAGGTAATGGTAAACTAGCTCCATATCTGGCTATGTTTAAAAAAAGAAAGAGTTAAGCAGATGAACTCTGACCCTGTTTTTATTTCAAAGAGGATGAAATAGAGCACATAGAGATAAACAATTAATTTACCTTTGGAATTAATATAGTATTTTTTACTTGAATTAAATTTAATTAAATACAGTTAGTCAAAGTCAAAGGACAGAAACAGGAATAAGCACTGACAAATGGGCAGAACTTTTTGGCCCATACATAGTGCCAGGCCAAATGAAGCTACTGTGATGAGAAAACGTAGAGAGAACAGTTATTTAGAAGTTGGACAAATAATGTAAATTGTAAATGTAAATCCCTTTATTGTCCCACAATGGGGAAATTAACTCTCTGCATTTAACCCATCCCATTGGGAAGCAGTGGGCGCCCGGGGAGCAATGTGGGGTTTTGCTCAGGGACCCAGAGTGCAGACTGTGGGGATCGAACCAGGTACTTGCAACTTTCTCAAAGCACAACATACTGTTCTAACCACTAGGCCAACACTCCCCTAAACATACTTATATTCAAGTAAAAATTTCAAAATAAAAAGAAAAATGCACGAATGTGAAAAGACAAACTTAGGCATAAAAAGCACTTGTCTTAACCTGTTATGTTTTAACATAATTTAGATCACATTGGTTTTTTCAACGTAATTGTACCTTGTCTTCTGTTTGACCAAACCCTTAGGGAACAGTCTGCAACTCTTTTGGAATGCCTGGTAAGCATTCTAGAAGTCCTCCCTAAAATCTTACTTTGATAAATTCAGCTGAGTAAATATAGCTACTTATGACATTCCACTGGTTTTGATTATATCAAAATATTGATTATTTTCACAACAATACATCACACATTGAGAAGCAAAATGCTGTGTTATAACACTAAGGCTATGTTTGTTTAAGTAATTCATATCT